TTTTTTTTTTTTTTTTATAATACATAAAAATATATCGCAATTCTGTTTTCGCAGCTGTCACAATTCGCACAACGTTTTATTTTTTTTCTTCCTTTCGGATGGAAAAATTCGTATTACGCATTTGTCATGCTGGTGATTCTTTGTATTTTCTATTGTCTCACGATTTTTCCCTTTCCTCGGTTGAAATTCGCACGAAGTTTTCAGTGAATTCGTGAAATAGCACTGTCGCAGTTTTGTCAAGAATCTCAGATTCTTGTTTTCTTGGTTGAAATTTATTATCACGAACGGTGATAACATCACACTTGATCCACTAAGAATCGAGGAGTAGTTTGCCACAATGCTATAAATACTCCAGTTTCTTTTAATTATACAAAATTTCAAAAGTGGAGATAATAATGACAAAAAAAAAAAACAAATATTAAGCGAAAATGATTAAAGATTCTTTTGGAAAAATTGGAAAAATATCGAAATGAATCGATATTGATATTGACGACAATCGAAGAAGTAAGAAAACGAGTAACAATTAGCTGGTATAACTCGAAACATAGAGGGGGGAAATATCGCGATTACCGAAGGATCTCGTTTGAAATTTTGTCGCGATATAGCTGGTAAATAATTGCAAATGCACGTATGAGTACGCCGCGGAACTTCAAATTTACGTCCGGGAAAACTAGTTTCGTTGAATCTGGCAAGCTAAGCAGTAGTAAAGGCCAATGTTTATTTACTTTAATTGCTTATGTAATTACATCACGGAGAAGGTGCTTTTAATCGGAACACTTTGAAACCACCGGCGAATTACACTGGTAATTAGGCAGGTATTCGTAAATCGTTCATTCGTTAAACGCACTCAGTTTCTCGTTGAATTTACATTTTATTAGCGAAGTTAAGGAATTAGCGATTGACGTGGATATCGTCGATGTTGAGGCTACGTTAATTATATCGAACGTGTTACGCTAATCTGATTTTACGATGCGTAATGCTCACAACGTGGATTACAAAAGCGAAGATTTTACGATTCGAATCTACCGGGAATTTTCACGTAATCCTAAAAGGATATTACAATGATACGATGTAGATTAACGAGAATGCTGTAAAATTCATGTTCTTGGAATCGTTTCGGAGTCAAATTCTCGCATCAAATGTCGAGTTTTATCTTCTCCACGCTCGTTTGGAACACCTGTCGCGTAATTCATTTACCTCGATCACTTGATTCAAAGAAAATTGTATTACTTTACTCTTACGTTCTTGCAATACATCGTGAAATATTGTAAAAAGTTATCACACCAATCTATTCGGCAATCTACAGCTTCATGATTTGCGAAAAATCATATTTTTTCGAACATTATTTTTCAAATATACCGTATATTTACTTGTGGATATTTCCTTGCGATAGATTCCAAATTGCGTTCATTTCCACAATATGATCTATTGTAAAGCTATCTTACTGATTTATTCGTTGAATTGGAAAGTGTGAAAAAGTAATGACGTCGCAATCACAACTTTTCAAATTTATCTTCCCTCGAAGTTTCGGACGTCAGTCATTTAATCGTGACAAAATTGAAAAGCGAAATGACCAGTTTGCCTTTTGAGAAGCTCGTATTGATCGATCCTTGACACGGCGGGATTTACATTATCGTCAAGTGTCTGCCTGTCCTTTGGATCTGCTGGTTACTCGACGAATCCCGCTAGTTCGTGGTTTCGTTACTAAAGAGTCTGTATTTCTGGGAGAAAGCCGGAGATAACGTTACGAGCAGATGTCGCCGCTTGCTGTTTCTCTCAAAAGCTTCGCAACGAGTGCGAGGATGCATGTGCGACAGAACGTTAGGAACAGGCGTGGAAAACCATTAGAATCGGCGTCTGTACATTCGCAATTCTCGCGGTAATGGCGATTGCAGAGAGAGCGTGGCTTTTTAAAACCACGATTGCCATGTTTGAATTAAAAATACGCAATAAAAGAAATGCACTCGGCCGCGACATTTCAGCCTCCCTTTGCCATTGTTCTCTTCCCTTTTTTCGGCGTGGTTAATTAAGAGACCATGCCTGGAATTTTGCATTGAATTTTCTTTTTTTTTTTCCTCCCCCTCCATTCATCTTTCAGTGATCGTTCTGGAATCGTTGCTCGGTTTAATTAGTACACTCGTGTCTATTAGAGTTATCCGTATCCTTTGAAATTTTCTGCTTTTTGCAGACTTTATATTCTGTCTTTAATATAGATATAAATGGAGATCTTTCAACTCTTCGGGAACAACATCCGATGTTGTGACAATCTAGGAAATTTAAATTTAAATTTTTCAAATTTTTCACTGTTACCTCTAAATGATCACATGTCTCGTACTGTTGATTTCATTTCTACGTGACTATAAATTTTAGTATAGCTGTATTTAGTACGGTGTTGAAATAACCTTTGGCAGAGTGGAAGAGTTCAAAGCAGACGAGATTTTCAGCGAATTTTTCAGAGTATTTTCATGCCCGTTGTTTCTTCAGAACAATTCAAAATTTCGCGTCAGTCACGAGAGTCTACGCGCATCTGTCAAATTTTTAATATTTAAAGAAAAACAAGGATTTCAAACTTTCCACGGCGGCGATTTATTTAGTAGTTCGAGTTACGCAGATGTTGAAAAAATATCGATTGTTTGTTAGAGAACGTGAACAAATTGAAACGAAAAAATCATAACATTAACAGACAGTACCGGTGCATTGAAATATACGAAATATATTACAAGTGATAAATTTTATTTGCTTGTATACTAACCATATATTGACTTTGATCGTGTGAGATTTTGTTTTTAATTTATTTATATGTTCTACAGTTATTTATATGTATTTATAAAATGTAAAAAGCTTTTTTT